GAGTATGCAAGCAGCTGAACTTTACTGTCCTGTCACATAAATCAAGACGAGGTGACCTATTCGGCTCTCCCCTTTACGCTCTTTTGCCTCTCACCTCTGGTCGACGAAGACGAACTTGCCGTCGATGGCGTGCCGGGAGACGTACTCTGTCGGCTTCACCCTGATGTCTGCCAGGCTGGGCTGGGGGACGATGTGGGGGTGCAGGCGGCCGATGGCCACCAGGCAGCTCAGGTTGCAGCCCTCGTTGTCGGGTTCATTGTCTTCGTCGAGACCCATCTTGGTAGGTGGCCAGCTCTTCAAGTAGCCCGTGCTGTGGATAGTGCAGAAGCTCTTACGGTCCGCTGTAATGAGAGTGAAGAGACGCGAGAGAGAGGCGTTAAAATTAGAAATAAGCAGGGCCATCTTAGTGGGATACCGTCACCATGCTGTGGGGTATGATGGAGCATTTTTTTACAGTTCACTGAACTGAATGTGATGGGATTTCTTTTTGATTATGAACCCACATCGGAACAGTTTGGCTGATTGATTCAAAAACTCTTACAAAACGCTGAGGAAGCCACAGCAGTGATGCAGTTACGGCTAATTATCAAATACAAATCAAAACACGAGGCTGAACCCTTGAAGACAAATCCTACGGTCGTCCCTGCAGGACTGAAGGATCACAGTTAATCAGCGAGTGCTGTGTGGACTTTGGCTCGTACCCTCTTTAAACTATTTTTGACAAATGAGCCCATCTGTGATTTTCAGGGCTGTTTATTTCTTGCTCTTTGCCATAAAACTACAAGATTAGAAACTACAAGAACCTCCTGCCTGGCAACTTCATCTTCAACAGCCTTTGTCCAGCATATCTGCCATCCCTCCTCTGCAAACGCACAAACCATCTGGAACACCTTTCCACTCTCTATGAAGATGGGAGTACTTCTACTTCTTGGCATGTTCCTCTGATTATAAAAGACGTTTTACACTCCAGTTCCTCAATAAGCTACTAAGTAGCTCCAAACGCAGCCAGCCATGTTTTCATTTGCTCTTAGACCAGTGGAGCACACATGCTGCCATGTATTCCAGGAAAATCTTCTTATATTGACTGATCAAAGTGCAAATGTCCCGTGCGTCACTTTCCACTTTCCGACGAGGAAAATTGAGTGACCGAGGCTCCGTTCGTGTCATGTTCTAAACCTTTGATTTTTAATCTTAAAAACTCGAGTCCAGGCGTGATGTTACCCTGCACTCCGATGTGTTCCAGCTAATTCTCCACGGCTGAAACCACCATCTGCCGAGCTGACTCAGACTGCTTTCAGCCCTGACCTGCTTGGCACACAGCTAATGAAGTGTGATATAGAGGTTGCCAGAACAGCCCAGGTGCAATTTCTAAATAAGAGTCACACAAATCAGAATTTGGTCAGTTAAATGTGATTCAGCAGGTCACAATAACTTCAAAAGTGTTGTTGTCGTTCATATATTTTTACTTGATTAACGTGTTTGTTCAAATTAAACTACCTCAGTGCTTTTTAATTGCAACATAACATTTTCTAGTAGTTTGTGATGTTGTTAAATGATAGTCTGGTTCTTGCTCAGAGTTAAAATTCATTTTTGCTTTAGCTGTTTTTGTGTTAACTTGTACTGTTTGGACCAACTCTGCAGAAATGAGCCGGAGGCAGAGCGTGACACCAGCAGAACTAAACTGTTTTCTGTATGATTTAATCAGCCTTACACACTGTTGCGGATCAATTTTGGCCCAACCACTCTACTTTACAGTGTTACTTCAGTTCATTGAGATTTTTAGGCATTTGCTCAGCACAGCTGAATCTTAAGGTCCA